AAAGCCCCTGCTGGTGCATGACGAGAAGAAATGCCCCTTTGGGTTCACTATTTAGCCAAACACACATGCTTCCTCTGCTCACCACATGGAGTCCTGTAAAATGTGTAATATGGATTATACCTCATTATAAAATATTTTTTACACATTGAGGAAAATTCCCTGTTCATAGGAATCCTACGGTGAATTCTCTTTCAAAATAAATCATCCTGTTATACAGTTAACAAGTCCCTGATTTATTTTGTACAAATGGAGAGTCTCACATAGATACTTTGTTCAAAACAAGTCAGACCTGCCTGGCCGGTGTGGCTCAATGGCTGAGCGTCTACCTGAGGTCACAGGTTCGATTCCTAGTCAGGGCACATGCCTGGGTTTCGGACTCAATCCCCAGTGAGGGGCGTGCAGGAGGTAGCTGATCAATGATTCTTTCTCATCATTGATGTTTCTATCTCTCTTCCCCTCTTCCTTCCTCTCTGAAATCAATAAAAATGTCTTTTAAAAAACACAAAAACAGCCCTAGCCAGTTTTGCTCAGTGGATAGAGCATCAGCCTGCGGACCAAAGGGTCTCTGGTTCAATTCCAGTCAAGGGCACATACCTTGGTTGCAGGCTCCCCCCCAGCCCGGGCCCCAGCACGAGGCAACCAATCGATGTGTTTCTCTCACATCATTGTTTCTTTCTGTCTTTCCCTCTCTCTTCCATTCTCTCTGAAAATCAATAGGAAAATATCCTCGGGTAGGGATTAACAAAAACACAAAAACAAAACAAACAAAAACAAGTCAGACCTTGAATGAAAGCTACTTGTCTAGCCTTAGAATAGATTTTTGGACAGGGAGGGGCAGTAGTTGAGAACACCACATGGGGGCAGTATAGAGCCATCCTTTACGCTGGGCTATTCACTTGCCAAGGATTCTCTGGGGTGCTTTTGGAAGTCAGAAGCAGCTAGTTGGTCAAGAATAGTCCAATTCCCCCCGAAGTCACGTCCCAGGGGAGAATGTCCCCCCACACACTCTCTCTGAGTCCCTAGGAGTGTGTCCCTGGACCCTGTTGGCAGGTGGCCCAAGGGCACCAGCTCCCTCTCCTCTCAGCATCTCCTCCAAGCCCAGGGTGGCAGAGGTGCAGTCCTCACCAGCTTCACGTCATCACCTCCTGCTCCAGGGATTGGGTCAGGGGGTCGGCTATCCTCCCTTGGACAGTGCCCCCCCCCCCCCCCCAGTTTGGGAGCATAAGAAAATCCTCAGGAGGCAACCTCTCTCTTCCTCTGTCCTCTCTCCTTCCCAGGTTTTCCCAAAAAATTTTGCAGGTCCCCGCCTCAACCCCTAAATCTATGATTGTCTGGCCCTGTCAGGGCACATGCCTGGGGCAGAAGGAGGCTCCCAGGCCAGAGAAAGGAGGAGTCACCTCTGCCCCCTTAGAGAGGACAGAGCACGAGGCCACACACCACCGCTGTCGCCCCTTGAGCAGGCAGAGGAGTGGGCTGTGGGAACCCCAGCCAGGCGGGCGGAGAGGGGGGATAATTTAGCAGGTGGCCTCCTTACTCCCAGATCTGTTACCATGGTAACCTGGTTTTTTCTTTAAAAAATGTACAGTGCCAAGAGGAGGAAGATGGCTGACAAAATCCTCCCTCAAAGGGTGAGTGCCTTTCACAGAAGCCCCCAGCAGACCCCCACCCCTTGCTGCCCCACCTCATTTGTCTCCCCTCCCCCTAAGGAGCAGAGCTTCAGCGGTCACAATCACTTTTACTTTTTGTTTAAAAAGCTAATTAAGAAGTGAGGCTCCCCAGGCCAGAGGGAGGGGGTGGGATAGAGGGAAGGAACAGAACCCAAAGGGGTAGCATCCTGGGCCTGGGGTGCAGTGGATTGAATTGCAGCGGTCCAAACACATGCTGAGCTGGGGGGGGGGGCGTCGGGGAGGGGGATAGCTGGTTTAGACATCAGTTGGAGTGACTGGGTGAGGTGCCAGGGCAGAGGCAAGCAACCACATCCTCTAACTGCCTCAGGGACACCAAGGTCCTAGCCAATTTGCAGACACCCAAGGAAAGCCCAGAGGCTGTGTGACAAAGGAAAGGACCAGAGGAGGAGGTGAAGCCCGAGTTTGTTGGGGTCCATGGTGGCTCTGGCCTTCCCTAATCATGAAATGCATGGGTCTCCCTAGAGCAGCAGTTCTCAACCTGTGGGTCGCTACCCCTTTGGGGGTCGAATGACCCTTTCACAGGGGTCGCCTAAGACCATCGAAAAACACATATATAATTACATATTGTTTTTGTGATTAATCACTATGCTTTAATTATGTTCAATTGGTAACAATGAAAATACATCCTGCATATCAGATATTTACATTACAATTCATAACAGTAGCAAAATTACAGTTATGAAGTAGCAACGAAAATAATTTTATGGTTGGGGGTCACCACAACATGAGGAACTGTATTAAAGGGTCGCGGCATTAGGAAGGTTGAGAACCACTGCCCTGGAGGGAGAAGCAGTTTTTGTCCCTATACATGAGGCTGCTACTGCTGGATACGCAGTCCTGGGGAGAGGTCCCATTCTCACTCTCAGAAGTCCCAGAACCAGCCAGCTCCCCTCCATCTCTGTGTACCTGGAAGCACGTGATACGCACACATTCCACCTACAAGATTGGCTGAGCCCCTGTTCCCTGCCTTGCTCCTCCTCTTCCAGATCCGGGAGCTGGTCCCTGAATCCCAGGCTTACATGGACCTCCTGGCATTTGAGAGGAAACTGGATCAAACCATCATGCGGAAGCGGGTGGACATCCAGGAGGCTCTGAAGAGGCCGATGAAGGTGCCTTGGTTTAGGGGTGGGAAGGCGCTCTACGTCCTGTTCCCAGAACGGAGACATGGGGTTGCGGGGAGGGCACACAGTGCTTGCTCTGTGGGACACTCTTTATTTCTACAGCAAAAGCGGAAGCTGCGTCTCTATATCTCCAATACGTTTAACCCTGCGAAGCCCGATGCTGAGGATTCTGACGGCAGCATCGCCTCCTGGGAGCTGCGGGTGGAGGGGAAACTCCTGGATGACGTACGTCTTGGCCCAGGTCTCTCCAGGTGTCCTGGGGTGGGTATGGGGCTGGACTGAGGACAGAACTAGATGTTTGCACTGAGGGTTAGGGAGTCAGCCCTGCCCAGGGTGGGTGGCCTGGAGGGACATCGGCTGCAGAGGCCTGCTTCTAACCATGCTGCCCTACCCAACCAGCCCCACCCCCTCCCAACTCATTCTGCCCCCATGGTCCCTGTTCTGCCCCCACAGTCCCTGTTCTTCTCCCACAGCCCAGCAAGCAGAAGCGAAAGTTCTCTTCCTTCTTCAAGAGTTTGGTCATTGAACTAGACAAAGACCTTTATGGCCCTGACAACCACCTAGTTGAGGTAAGACCCAGACCCCACATTGCCCTAGAACTGCCACCCTTCCACAGGCCCAAGTCCTGCAGTCCCATCAGCTGCACAGATTTGCACCAGGGACCACCCTAGAGCCCCAAGCCTCACCAGCCCAGATGGGCCTGTGACGTGACCCAGCTCTTCTCCCCTGGACAGTGGCACCGAACGCCCACCACCCAGGAGACGGATGGGTTCCAGGTGAAGAGGCCGGGGGACCTGAGTGTGCGCTGCACGCTGCTCCTCATGCTGGACTACCAGGTCCGTGCCAGTCCCCCACCCTGCAGGCACCATGAGGCCTTTGGCCCCCCACACCCTTTCTCTTAGACAGGTGGGCGAAGGCCCCCAAGGTAGGCATCCCAAGAGACCCATCCTCACTAACCCCGTCTCCAGAAGCACATTTCCAAGGAGCCCAATCACCATGTCGTACCCCCCACTTCCACCCCAGTCCCAAGCTGCCTGGCTTTGAGCTCTTTCCACTCCCTAATTTTCATGGTCACCTTTTCACAGCCTCCCCAGTTCAAACTGGATCCCCGCCTGGCCCGACTGCTGGGCTTGCACACGCAGAGCCGCTCAGCCATCGTCCAGGCCCTGTGGCAGTATGTGAAGACCAACAGGCTGCAGGACTCCCACGACAAGGAATACATCAATGGGGACAAGTATTTCCAGCAGGTACCCTGAGCCCAGGGACGTGGGGAGCAGACAGAGTCACCGGTAGGGGAAGTGCCTCTACTAAGGTAATACCACCCCTATCTTTAGATTCTCAGGTATTAGAAACCATAGTCACTCTCTCAGAGCCAGAGACCAGGGTCCTAGTCCAGGCCCTACCATGGTGTAGCTCTGTGCTGCATTTTCGCCATCCCAGATCAGAGAGGTGTGGAACCCCAAAAAGCTCTCAGGAATGTAATATTCTTGGCACTCAGAGTTGGATCTCAGGGGTCTGGTCCTGGGTCCTGACTCTGGGTGAATTACTTGGCCATTTTGAGCCTTGTTCCTTATCTGTCCCATCTAACCCACTGGGCAGTTAGGAAAATCAAATTGCTATGAAAGGGGTTTGACAAAAATTCTACCAAAGTAGAGATTTTTTTTTTTAATTTTCACCCGAGGATATCTTTTTATTTATTTAATTTAAATATATTCTTATTGATTTCAGAGAGGAAGGGAGAGGGAGAAAGAGATAGAAACATCAGTGATGAGAGAGAATCATGGATCTGCTGCCTCTTGCACAGCCCACACTGGGGATCGAGCCCGCAACCTTGGAATTGAATCGTGACCTCCTGGTTCATAGGACGACACTCGACCACTGAGCCATGCTGAGGATATCTTTTTAAAATATATTTTTTATTTCAGCGAGAGGGAGGGAGAGGGAGATAGAAACATCAGTGATGAGAGAGAATCATCAATCCACTGCCTCCTGCACACCCCCTACTGGGGATCGAGCCTGAAACCTGGGCATGTGCCCTGACTGTGAATCGAACCATGATCTCCTGGTTCATGGGTCAGCATTCAACCACTGAGCCGATATTTTTCCCCCAGTGACCTTTTTAGGGAGCGTGGGAGAGAAGAGGGAAAGAGAAACATCAATGTGAGAAACACATTGACTGGTTGCCTCCTGCATGTGCCCTTATGGGGCTGGGGATAGAACCTGCAACTGAGGTATGTGCCCTTGACCCAGAATTGAACCCATGACCCTTTGGTCCACAGGCTGACGCTCTAACCACTGAGCAACCAGCCAGGGCAGTAGAGATTATTCTTAATACATTTTAAATAAATACAGCAGATAAACCTGAGGAGTGAAAAGAACAGTTGATGTTTATTGAGCACATACCACGTGTCAGGCAGGTATGTTCCAAGCACTTAGTGTACTGATGCACTGAATTCTAACCACAACCCTGAGAGAGGGGTACTACTATTATCCCCATTCTAGAGATGAGGAAACTGAGGTCTGAGTCATTAAGTAACTTGCTCAGGCTGCAGAGTAAGTGGTGGGAGCAGGATTTGTATCTAGGCAGGCAGACCCAGGGTCCATCCTCAACCACTGCACCGCACCAGCCCATGGCCCCTAGTTTCAGACCCGTGAGTCAGATGCTCCTGGCTTCTTGTGGCCTTTCCAGAAAGGATCTAGAACTGTAGTTATGCTCTTTCCAAGCACAAAAGAGTGACCTCTTCCTCCTGCCTCAGATTTTTGATTGTCCCCGGCTGAAGTTTTCTGAGATTCCCCAACGCCTCACAGCCCTGCTGTTGCCCCCTGACCCAATTGTCATCAATCACGTCATCAGGTGAGGCCCCGGCTTGCTCCTCAGACCGGGGAATCATTTCCTCCTGTCCTGCCTGTCCCGCCCATCCCAATGCCCCCTCCCTCCCCACTGCGTCTGCCCTGGGGCCCTTGGCCTCTGTGGGGGCAGGTGAACTCCAAGGGCTGGACTTCCTGGCAGCGTGGACCCGTCGGACCAGAAGAAGACGGCGTGCTATGACATTGATGTGGAGGTGGAGGAGCCACTGAAGGGGCAGATGAGCAGTTTCCTCCTGTCCACGGCCAACCAGCAGGAGATCAGCGCTCTGGACAGTAAGGTGGGGCCAGAGCCCAGAGCTGCAGTGGGATGTTAACCCAGAAATGACAGAGTACAGACAGAATAGACACGAGCATGGGCCTATGGAGAGATGAAGGACTTAACACCCCCTCCCCTGGGACTGCAGAGGCCTGGGGCCCGAGGGGCTGTTCTTCCAAGGAACAGCAGCAGTCCTTCCCCCATGTGCCTCCCTCCCCCTTCCCCCTTCTTCCACATCACCACAGCCAGGTGAAAGCTTCTGTCTTTCTACCTGTAGATCCATGAGACGATTGAGTCCATAAACCAGCTCAAGATCCAGAGGGACTTCATGCTAAGCTTCTCCAGAGACCCCAAAGGCTACATCCAAGACCTGCTCTGCTCCCAGAGCCGGGACCTCAAGGTGAAGGGGACTTGGGGAGCACTGGATGGAAGACAAGCATATCAGGAAGACAGTAAAGGTTGTACACAGGGGCGGGAAGGGCCCGGGCTCAGGGCTGACTCCATTCTCCCTCCCAGGTGATGACAGATGTGGCAGGCAACCCTGAGGAGGAGCGCCGGGCTGAGTTCTACCACCAGCCCTGGTCTCAGGAAGCGGTCAGCCGCTACTTCTACTGCAAGGTGTGAAGGGGCCCGGGCACCTCAGGCCCCTCCTCACTGAGAAACTTCCTTCCTCAGCCTCCAGTGCCCTTGCCACTCCACCATGTCCCTCACCTCCTGGGAGCCCTCCCTGCTCCCAGATGCTCTTCCAGGGTGGGCAGCGGGTGGTTGGGGTCGTCCTGTCACTCACCAGCAACACGTAACCCTGCTCCTGCTCTGATTTCTCTAAAGATCCAGCAGCGCAGGCAGGAGCTGGAGCAGTCGCTGGTGGTGCGCAACACCTAGGAGCCCTCCAAATGAGCACTGCGGGCCAGGGCCGCCTGACCCAGGCTCTGCCAGCACCCCTCTGCCCACCTATGGGAGGTGGGGAACTGGATTAAAGGTCATTCATCTGCTAGCAGCTGTGTGGTCATTGGCAACTGGGAGAGAGGAGGAAGGGGGAGGCAGTAGGTCCCTCTGGGAAAACTCCCCAGCCCCTCCCTGAGATTCTTCTCCTGACTCCGTTTCCCTAGACCTAAAATCACTTTGGCAGAAGACACTTTTTAATCACATTTTCTTATTTAAAAAAAAATACAGCCACAAGCTCTCCATCCATCTTGCCTTGCCCTCCTGGGGCTGAGGCAGAAAGGGGAACCACCTGGCAGCCCGAGGCTAGGTGCTGTTGCCCTGCTCCTGCTCGAACAGGGCCATGGCCAGCTGGGCCCGGCCAGCCAGCCCCTCCAGGTTGCTTAGGCGGCAGCGGTGATAGAGTTCCTCACTGAGCCGAGGGCTGCAGTCCCGCAGGGAGAACTTCTGCACCAGCCCTGGCTCCACGGCTCGGAAGAGGTGGAGCCCTGAGAACCGGAGGAACACATCCATCACCTCCAGCCCCTCCAGGGCTTCCTCCTCTTCCTGGCCTGCCAGTTCAGCAGCCAGCCGTGCGCGGGCAGCCAGGTAGTCGGCATTGTAGAAGCAGCCCTCCGCGGAAGCCTGGCGGTCAAACCGGCCTCCTCCAGGAGCCCCCCGGGCAGGGTCAGCACCAGGAGGGGATGGGGGGTCAGGGCCAGCCCCCGGGGGAGACTTCTGTGGTGCCAGAGCGGGGTGGAACTCCTGGAAATGGACGGGGAAGAAGGCCTGCCAGCCAGAGATGGCATTCATGCGGCAGCGGTTGAGCACCTCTGGTCCAGGCCGGGTCCACACAGTGGTGAGGAAGAAAAGCGTGTCCACCGGGTGCTTCTTGGACACCACGTCCATGAGCCGGACCTGGGAAGGAGCCTCCGCCCGCACTGCGAGCCAGGCCAGCCTCGTCCCAGGGTACCGTCGCTCCAACTCGGCCACTGCAGCCTTTACCCCGAGAAACGGGTCCAGGGCCCCTCGGCCACCTTCCTGTGGCCCATAGACCAGCAGGAGGGTGAGCAACACGTGCTCTCGTGGCTCCAGAACGCTGGCCGCAAAGGCCTCGAGGAAAGCAGGGGCCAAAGCAGCTTCCGCCACCAGGAGCGGCAGCACCAGCTGCACACGGGTGGCCTCCGTGACATAGGGCATAGGCAGGATTTCCACTCGACTCAGCGGCCGAAGCAGGCTGACCCTGCGGGCCAGAGCCCGCCGGTGCCCACGCTGCGTCACAGCTTCCAGCAGTAGGTCCAGGGTGTACTCCATGCCCCGCGCTGGGTCGAAGCGCCGGTAGCCATTGAGCAGCCGCTGCTTCTGGAATCGCAGCCGGGGCTGATAGCGCCGATTCAGCTGCTCCAGAGCCGTCTCCACAGCATCGCCCACGTCCGCCCGGCTAGCCCCTTGCAGTGGGCACTTGGGCGCCCCATCTGCACAGGAGAAGGTGTGCTGTTCTGTGAAGTAGTCCCAGCCCAGCACCTCAAATCGAGAGCGTGGTGTGAACGGGGCCGGGAGCCCCACAGGCCAGCTCAGCCCTGCCTCCCCCTCAGGGGTCAGCACGGTCAGGTTCCGGATCTGAGCCTAGGGCAGGAGGGACACACAGTTAGTCAAACCGGGGGAGCTAGGTAGTCCGCAGGACCCGCCCCCGCCCTGGGCTCTGCGCTCTGTCCTGACACTTAGTGGGGTGCCCCTTGGCTAACCACTCAATTCCCTGTACCTTACATTCTCCCTCTATAAACGCAGTAGGCCTATGAATTACACCCCCTGTACACAAATGCAGTGAGGAGGCCGGCGGGGAGGAATGTGCTTTGGCAGACAGACCTTAAAGCATCCTGAAATACAACGCTCAACGGCTCCCCCTCCAAAACCCAAAGTACTCCCATCCTCCTGAGAACGCACCTTTGTGTTCATCTGTTCTTCACCTCTGACAACCCCACAATAAACTAGAATATTCTTCAAACCCTTGGTTTTTTTTAGGACAGTGATAGAAATTAGGGGACTTTGGGGTTGTGGCCTCCTTGGTGGAGAGGCGCACTGTTCCGAGACCTGACCCTCACAGTTCACCATCAAACCCTTCTAACTGCATCCGGGTCTTTCCAGGAGCTCATCTGATGATTGGCCTGGACCCAAGAGCCCCTTCTCTCTGGAGCTGCTTTAAATTTAGGTACAGTTAGCCCTAGCCTGTCTGACTCCATGGATAGAGCACTGGCCCGAGGACTAAAGGATCCTGGGTTTAATTCCAGTCAAGGGCATGTACCTCATTTGCAGGCTTGATCCCCGGCCCTGGTCGGGGCATATGTGGGAGGCAACCAATGAATGTGTCTTCTCTCTCTCACATCGGTGTTTCTTTCTCTGTCTCTCCCCCTCCCTTCCACTCTCTCTAAAAATCAATGGAAAAATATCCTCGGGAGAGGATAAAAAAGAATTTAGGTATGGTCAGCTTCTTCCTACCCCACCAGCCTCCCCCTCACTCCAGCCGACCCGGCTCACCTGCAGTTGCTCTATTTCGCTGTACGTCTGCTCCAGCTCCAGAGTGCTGAAGCGCTTGTGGAGCCGGTACATGAGGGTCCCCTCCGATACAGGGTGTACTGCAAAGGCACTCAGGAAAGCCGAGCTCCCCTCCTTCTCCGGGTCTCTATTTTTGGCCAGTTCAAATGAGCGATACTGCTGCCCCTAGAGGGACCAATCAGACCAATCAATGCCACACACGGAGGGCTGCCCGTCTCAACCAGCCCTGACCAAACCCAACATTCACCCCTATAACTGCTGCTGCCGTGCAAGGACGGAGAAAGCGGGGGCTCAGTCCAGTGTCCCCTTAACCTTGGCCTTACTCTCACTGCTAAATTTTGGAAAAAACAATGTTCAGTAGGCAACTAAGGGTACCCTCTTCCCCAGAGAGCCCTACTGTTTCTCCAGGGAATGAACACCACGAGCCAGCAAGTACTCCTACGATGCTGGTCTCAAAGACAGGGCAGCTCTCAGGGCCAGAACAGGGATTACCTCACTTCTCCAAGAGAGTAGCCATCTCTAGAACATTCCCAGATTGTTCACAACTGTGCGTGTGTCAGGGCAGATGGATGGAGGACTGAGGAGGGGGCACCTTTCTATCTTCTCACAGGGTCCCTGACAAGATGCCCCCGGGGCTAAGACTGCCTGAGGGCAGCAGGGCCGCCAGAGGCACACTCCCTATCTGTGAAGGGCAAACCAGAGGCCGCATGTGCTGCTGGGAAGGCGCCAGCATCACCTAGCCTGGAGACCAACCCCTCAGTCACTACTAAGTTGTCAGGGACCTGGACTGACTTGAAAGGGCTGTCACCTGGTGCTGTGAGACACAGCCGATACCCAGAGAGTCGATGAGGCAGCGGCCAAGCCACTCGTCAGGACGGGCACTGAGAATGTCCCCTCGGCAGCCATCCAGATGTGGCCGCAATCGAAGCAGGAGACTCCGAGACAACAGGTAGCCAAAGCCCCCATGGCAGTACCGGGCCTGCTCGCCGGCGCCAATGAACTCCTCCGCCCGGCCCAAATACAGGTCTTGGTTGATGCTGAGGTGGCCAGCAAGGGCTGCCAGGCGGGGGGCCTGCACATACGTGTCATCCTGCATGATGAAGAACCAGTCGTAGTCGGCCCCAAAGTGTGTGTGGAGATGGCGCAGGGTCTCCGACATGAGCCAGGCCGGTCGCTCGTCCCCATGAGATACCACCTGCATCCCCGCTGGAGCCCGGGCCCCCCGCTGCCCAGTGAAGTAGAGCAACCGAGGGAAGTGGTGGGCCACTGTGCGGTTCACAGCCACGGCCAAAGTGGACAGCGTGGCCCGGGAAGTCAGGACAGCCACCAGCAACCGCTCCCGAGAGCCCAGCTCTGTCTGGATGTACCGAGTCCTGTGGAGAGACCAGTCTGTCAAGGGTCAGCTCCCTCATTTCAGGAACCCAGGTTGTATAGCATACACATCCCTCTAGAAATGAGGTAGTTGAAGGTGAGAAAAGAGAAGAGACCTCCTCATCAGTATTAATTAGCTCCTGGAGTAAGCATCCTCTGAACAGCTGACATTGGGGAGGGGCTTACTAATGATGGACTAGACGAAGTAGATGCAATTCCTACCCTATCTAAGAACATCCAGCACTAATGTAACACCAATAGGTGAGACTTTCTTAGACTGAGGAAGCGGGAAAAAAGAAATAGAACCACGATGGTAAGAATTGCTCCACAGGCCCAACACAGATTACCACTGAAGGCAGAGGCAAGGCCTTAGAGCAGCCCTAAAGTGGGGTCGGGGGCTATGCACACATGCAGCTCTCACCTCAGCACCTTCTTGTAAGGCTTGTTGGGATCCCTATAGTAGGGGACAATCCGGGGTTTGAACTCTTCATCACTTTGGTCAAGCCCAATTCTTGAGTCAGGATTCTGCAGGCCTCCTGGTTCCCCCACAGCCTCTACACAGGGATCTTCTCCCTCACCCTGGATCCAGGAAACCCGCAAGAGGCTCAGGCTGCATCCCAGAGACAGCCCCAGGATGAGGGGCAGCGCTGGTCGCAGGAGAGCCAACAGGGAGCTCAGGCGCATGGTGGTAGGCCCTGCTGTGCGCATGCTCCGGAGGGCACAGCCTCAAGGCTCACTCAGTGGGTTGACGGGTGCCGGGCCAGTGGTAGGCATGCAGTTTTAACCAGGGAACCTGGGGCCCATGAGCTCAGCAGCAGAACAAGGCGTGTTTGCTTCCAGGCCCAGCATCCCCAGTAAGCTGGACGGTCCCGTCTTCACAATCCTGTCTGGCTGGTCTCCGGTTATCAAAGTGCCAGATCTAACCCTCAGTCCAGACGGTAATAAATATGAGATTCCAATTGGCCCACTAACGGCTTATGGCCTGTCTTCCCGTAGAAAAGGGAGGCAACAACACTCACTCCTGCCAAACGTAACCCAAAAAGGCCCACGCACATCTGTAGACCAAGTCACGAGCCAGCAGCAGCTGCTACAGAAGGGTCAGGGGAAAGCACCTGCTGCATCAGAACCGGGTGCCACCCGAGGCGCTGC